AACGGGACGTCGGAAGTGGGTGCCGTAAAAGGGAATGTGGTAGCCCGCGACACGATCTCACTGATGGTGGAGTCAAATCTTCAATCGCGAATTGCGGGTGAACGGGACGTCGGAAGGGGGTAACGTCAAAGGAAATGTGGTAGCCCCCGACACGATCTTCCTGATGGTGGAGTCAAATCTTCAAACGCGAATTGCGGGTGAACGGGACGTCGGAAGGGGGTACCGTAAAAGGAAATGTGGTAGCCCCCGACACGATTTTCCTGATGGTGGAGTCAAATCTTCAAACGCGAATTGCTGGTGAACGGGACGTCGGAAGTGGGTACCGTAAAAGGGAATGTGGTAGCCCGCGACACGATCTCACTGATGGTGGAGTCAAATCTTCAAACGCGAATGGGGTGAACGGGACGTCGGAAGTGGGTGCCGTAAAAGGGAATGTGGTAGCCCGCGACACGATCTCACTGATGGTGGAGTCAAATCTTCAATCGCGAATTGCGGGTGAACGGGACGTCGGAAGGGGGTAACGTCAAAGGAAATGTGGTAGCCCCCGACACGATCTTCCTGATGGTGGAGTCAAATCTTCAAACGCGAATTGCGGGTGAAACGGACGTCGAAGTGGGTTACCTGTAAAAGGGATGTGGTAGCCGCGACACGATCTCACTGATGGGGAGTCAAAATGCTTCAAACGCGACATTGCTTGGTGAACGGGACTCGGAAGGAGGTACCGTTCAAAGGGAATGTGGTAGCCCCCGACACGATCTCCTGATGGTGGAGTCAAATCTTCAAACGCGAATTGCGGGTGAAGGGGACGTCGGAAGGGGGTACCGTCAAAGGAAATGTGGTAGCCCCCGACACGATCTTCCTGATGGTGGAGTCAAATCTTCAAACGCGAATTGCGGGTGAACGGGACGTCGGAAGGAGGTACCGTCAAAGGGAATGTGGTAGCCCCGGACACGATCTTCCTGATGGTGGAGTCAAATCTTCAAACGCGAATTGCGGGTGAACGGGACGTCGGAAGTGGGTACCGTAAAAGGAAATGTGGTAGCCCGCGACACGATCTCACTGATGGTGGAGTCAAATCTTCAATCGCGAATTGCGGGTGAACGGGACGTCGGAAGGGGGTACCGTCAAAGGGAAATGTGGTAGCCCCCGACACGATCTTCCTGATGGTGGAGTCAAATCTTCAAACGCGAATTGGGGGTGAACGGGACGTCGGAAGTGGGTACCGTAAAAGGGAATGTGGTAGCCCGCGACACGATCTCACTGATGGTGGAGTCAAATCTTCAATCGCGAATTGCGGGTGAACGGGACGTCGGAAGGGGGTACCGTCAAAGGAAATGTGGTAGCCCCCGACACGATCTTCCTGATGGTGGAGTCAAATCTTCAAACGCGAATTGCGGGTGAACGGGACGTCGGAAGGGGGTACCGTCAAAGGAAATGTGGTAGCCCCCGACACGATCTTCCTGATGGTGGAGTCAAATCTTCAAACGCGAATTGCGGGTGAACGGGACGTCGGAAGGGGGTACCGTCAAAGGAAATGTGGTAGCCCCCGACACGATTTTCCTGATGGTGGAGTCAAATCTTCAAACGCGAATTGCTGGGTGAACGGGACGTCGGAAGGAGGTACCGTCAAAGGGAATGTGGTAGCCCCCGACACGATCTTCCTGATGGTGGAGTCAAATCTTCAAACGCGAATTGCGGGTGAACGGGACGTCGGAAGTGGGTACCGTAAAAGGGAATGTGGTAGCCCGCGACACGATCTCCTGATGGTGGAGTCAAATCTTTAAAAGCGAATTGCGGGTGCACGAGGAAAGTGGGAAGCGGTTAGTGAATGTAGTAGCCTTCGACAAGATCTGTTATTGATGGTTGAATCGAAAGTGGCTAATAGAATACTGATCTGCCACACAAAAATGCGCTGAAGTCCCTTCGATCTCAAACGAGGACTTTGATAATTTTTTTCTGTGATGGGGAAAACGATATATTGAAGTCGTATCGATTTAAAGAAATTTGAAGTTTTAAACTGCAGATAGACTCCCAAGTAGCACGCAATATGGAAGCAATAATGGCTATAAACTGGCGCAACATTGACTTCATATTGTATTTTTATATTGCGCCAATATAGAATGTGAACGCTTTTAAAAATTGGGCCAATATAGTTAACAATATTGGTTCAATGTCACTTACAATATAAAACCAATCCTGTTATACTACATTGGCCCCAATCTCATAGTTACAATATCGGGGAAATATTGCAGCCTACATCGGACCAATATAGGATGTAAATGCTTTGTAAACATGGGCCAATATTGTTGAACTATATTACCACAATATAGAATGGAAATATTGGGCGAATAATGTAATCTATGTTGTACCAACATAGAATTTGAAAGCTATTAAACCTTGATACAGTATTTTCTCACAAGACCGAATCAGTACTGTTGGACGATATTAAACCAGAGTGGTTCTACGTATGTAACTGTACAACATAATAAAATAACAGGTAAATTGAAAAGCGTAGGAAAACGGAATATCGAATTTATTCTGTAAAGAAAGAAAATGATGTAAAACTAAGATGTTACAATTAACGATTTATACTTTTCCCTTTCCTTGCGACCCCCGTCCTATTCTGCAGCAGATGCGAAAGTCCCACTCACAAGACCCAACAGCTTGGAATGTATTCTTAACTGTAACTAAACAATATCAAAGATTAAAAAATTACTTATGAAAATTGATATAATATCTGGTTATTAGCACAAAATCTACTTCGTGCCTACATCTAAATGTTTATGCAAGCATTACCAAACCAAAAAACTTAATCTTATAAGATAATACCTATATAATAGGTACTTACCCTTTATTCTCAGTTTCTCACAGGATGCACAAATAAAGAAAGTCACCAAATACTCGCTGACAATACTAACACTTGCACATCTACAAATACAAAATGAAATGAAGTGCATTCATAATCACACAGATCACGTAAACAGTAAGTGTAGGTAGATATGCTTAATGGCGTGCTTATGCAGCGTTGCGCAAACTCTCCGAAATGATGCTATACTTAAAAGTGCTGTCTCATGTTTTTAATTACATAAAGGCCCAAGATTGTGCCCATATATTTTTTCCTATATTGATTAATACAATATAGGCCCAATGTCGATAATATCAATATAATAAGATATCGAATTCAAACATTAGACCAACATTGCGCCAATATTGTTTTGTTCTATGTCGATTAAAACAACATAGGTCCATACCGACAATATCGATATAATAAACATATTGACTATACAATATTAAACCAATATTGGAAATATACGTGTGAGACTACATTGACTGACCAACATTGCGCGTATATAGTTTTTTTGTACATTGATGTAAACAATATATGTACAACGTCGATATAAACAATGTTGGTTACATAATGTTAAACCAATATTGAACCATTATTAGAAATATCCATATAACATTATATTGGTTATTTCAGATTGCGCCCATACCAGAATTATCTATATAGAATTATATTAGATATTCTATATTGATCCAACATAAACTTTTAAAATGTTGGATTTACAATATATGTCATATATAGGTGTAACATTGATGATGTTCCATATGAATTTTGCAGAGATTTTAACATGTAGGTCCAATATAGAAAACGATATGCAATATTGCGCCAACATATTTATATTGGGCCTAGATATCCCCTTTCTAATGCCAAGATTATGTGCTACCTGGGCTATTGTACTTCTCGCGACAATACGAACTGCGTTGATAAGGAAACCTCCACTCAAATATCTGTCAATTCAGTTTTGTCATTTGATTTAAACATTTCGAATTTATTATTTAACGACTGTTTAGTAATTAGTAGTTATATTGAATAAAAGTAATTTAATAAAAAGTGACATTTTGTTACCTGTCAACAGAGATAAAATGTCAAACGTTGTTCCCGTCACAGAAAAATACCTTTATTATTCATTTTGGTGGAATGTAACCGATTAAAGTGAAAAAAGATGCAATTTAATTTACGAGAACGCACATAATAATCGTCAATACAAAATTTGTAGTGTGAGGAGAGGCGTTGGTGTGAAATGAAAGCAACATTTGCCTAGATTTTTATATTAAATTTTTTTGTCTTCTTATATTTTATTGTTTAAGCGTTTTGTTTTTAGTACCTAATGGATTTTGCAACATTTTTTTTACTTATCCTATAAGCAAGGCTAGATAAAAAAAGCCTCATTATTTTAATTAAACATTACTCGAGTGTGTATCTGTTTAAAACTGAATCGTAAACGTCATGGTGTCGTAAATCTGGTTAATAATGTTGACATAACAAAGTGGAACCTTACTGTTGTAGTGTTGTGGGTTTTTGAATGGGGTTCTAATAGAACATTAGATCTGTAAAAGAAGTGTGGCTCAATTACTGACAATTTTGTTTATGAATGTAAAAAAGGCTGAAATGGTATTTAAATGAACCCAACATTCCATCTTGGCACATGTCCTATTTACAATCATTAATTATTTCCCAGGCTTATCCATAAATTTAATTGGGTTTTAAATGCGCCGACAAGTGTAGGTATTTTTTATCTGAGTAGGTATCGGGAATGAAGAGGGTAAAGAGGAATGTAATATTGTCTTTGTGTCCGCATTTTGTAACTGCATACGTCCTACAGACCAAAAGACAATTTTATTTTTAGTTATGGTAGTGCGTTTATTTTACGTTAGCCTGTTATACATTGATATTTCACAATTAGTGATGTTTATATTTAAATTTTAACCTATAAATACTTTCCGGGGCATAATTAAAATTTTCAAGTTTATGTTATGATGGGTGGAAGATTATGAAGAGATTGACCATTAAATTTTATATGCTTCGTTCACGTCATCGAATTATGAATATTGTGGTTTTTTATCAATTTATAAATTCTTTCACTGTACGTTTATTCTGGCGACATCTATTAAACGATAGGGGTATCCGTTCTAGTTGGCAGTTATATCGCAGGTAGCAAATGCGTAAGCATATCGTACGTCTATGAGTAGATGGCGCTGTAAGGAACTTGCCGTTCGCGTTCCTTCTTATTCGATACCATTTATAAACACAGATGTCGTTTGAATACATAATTTGTTAGTCACTGTGCATAGATTAATTAATATCTATGGTAATCGTAATCATCTATCCCGTATTTTATTTGAATAAAAACTTTGTATTCGTGGACAACGTAGGAGGGGACACGTGCTCTCAATTGCCTTCTTTGTTGCTTTTTAGGTGTAAATAATACAAATGAGAGAACTTCAATTGTTTTTTCCTGCTGTAACTAGATTGCTTTCCAAGGCACACCTTCCCCTGTGCGATAGGTACCTATCTAAAACCTCTACAATCCACAAAATTTTTTCGGATACACAAAAGGCTATAAGGCGGATGAAAAGAAAGGACTTTTCTGGTAACATTTCTGTGGCCCATTTTAACATTGTTGACCAAAGAAATTTTAACTGCTGATATCCACTAATGTGTGAACGACGGATGTAACCGTACGGTTAATAATTAGGTTCGCGCAGGCACAGACAAACTAATGAAAATGTATGCTTTCCGTAAATGTCGTTGCGTGTCGAAAGTCATTCGGGATAAAATACGCTTTAGCATTGTTTAAATATAATGGCTTTAGACCAGCGTAAGAGTGCCGCAGTTCTAACACTTATTTGTCTATTTTTGATTGACTGATATTAAATGAAACCTAGTTTAATTTGACATTGTTTAAATGTAGCAACAATTTTATCAATTTTCTAAGGAACACTTGAACACTACCGAGCGCGAATGGTCTCCGTTTTTTTTTTATTTCCTGGCTACAGCTAATTTTAAAGCCGCACAACGAGAAAACCGCCCGACAAAATCATAAACAATTTTAATGTTATTTGAACCATTTTCATTTCCAAAATGTTTGCAAAACAATTTTTAATTCATTAAGTATTTTACCTCCATTGAATTACAAATTGACAAAAAAGTTACAGAAACAATTTTTAGCGATTGTGCTTATTGTTTGCGTTGTGTCCGTCCGTCCCTCTGTCGGTCGGAACTCACTTTTGCGGTTTTGAACTACTTTGGTTCTAGAGTCCGGGATTTCTTGTAATAGGCAGCCTATACCTTGGAGGTGTGCTTGTAACCCCTCCCCCCCCCCCCCCCAATGATTTTTTCCTGAGATGCTGTTTTTGAAAGTAAAACATTCGCCAACCTTGTTTCTACAAACTGTAACTATTACGCCGCCCCTTTTCCACATTAGTGCGCTGGGGGGATTGATATTACCTCTAATGAAAGGTCTCAAAAGGAATCAATTTACACCAATCCTTCTCGACCCTTATATTTTAAGAGCGAATTATTGGAGAGGGTGTATGTATTCATAAATGGCGTCTGGACGAGACATATCTACTGGTTACGTTAAAACTTTCAGTGCAAATATCTGCAGAACGGAATGTCGGAGGAGAGTAATCTCAAGGGGTGAAAAGATCTTCTACATGAAACACATCTGCTGGCGATGCTAAACCTTAATGTGAATCTCTGCTCTGTGTATGTACGAATTTAATTGGGAAAACAACGCGATACAAAACGGGTAAATTTGACATTTTAGCGTTGGAAATGACTATGTTTTGTATATGGGTATGAAGTTACCAGTTTTCGTTCAAGCAGAAAAGACACGGTGTCACATCAACTGATGATTGTACCGTAGTCGATCGCAATCAGTAGATTCAGTGCGACACGAGCGAGCGTGATTTATGGTTTATAGAAGTTTTTAGCGCATTTTTTAAGAATTAAAAAATTGTTTGCATTTTGGCCGTTTCGAACTACGAACTAGGAATGGTCCTAGAGCCCTGGATTTTTTTGCAGTAGGTAGCCTATACCTTGAAGGTGTGCCAGAAGGCCATCAAATTTCGCTGTCTAAAAGGGGAGCCCCCCCAGGAATTATTTCCTGAGATGCATAACTTTTACATACGACAACCAATTGGCCTCAGATTTTGCATACGCATGCCTTTAGTGATGCCAATTGCCAAGTTAAACTTTAGAAAATGGGGGGGGATGTAACACATAACACATGTTCTACCATTCATGGCCTGAGGGGGGGGGGGTAAATTAATTTTATCCCTCATTGTATTCTAATTAAAGGTCTCAATGGAAGGAACCGTTTTCTACCAACTACTGCCCTTCTTTCTGTCCTCTTATCAAAGTACGGAGAGGATGGGGAGGAGAACTAGTTTTATCCTTCATGGTACTCTAATCTAATGAAAGGTCTCAACGAAAGGAATTAATTTCTACTAAATAGCCCTCCTCCTCGACCTCTTATCGTGATCGGGTATATTCCCCTATACCTCAAGAACGGATTGTCGGAAGAGAGTACTCAAAAAGGACGATTGAGACGTCTGCAAGAAATATATCCATTGGTGATGTCAAAACAAAAGCTATTTCGGTTAAAAAAAATGCGCTTTATATATCTGCACAAGAGTTGTGCATAATTTACACATTTACAGATGTTACAACTTACAATTACCAGCATGAATCTCGGAAATTAACGGGACAATCGACCCAACTATAGTAACTATATTCAGGAAATTCAGCTTCGAGCATAGACATGGACGTAAAGAATCACTATCGAAGTTCTCGGATTGTTCTTTTTAATATTGCTTGTCTCAAAGACGATTTGATATTTGAAATTGATTTGTGAATCCTCGTGCTGTATAATCTGCGAATAATACAAATTATCGCGTTTCCGCTTCGAGAAGCGCCTCTGTTTGTAGAGCCGGAAAACAGTCCACGCAATTAATTAGGTAGGTATACAAAAACCTAATTATCAAGCTTACAATTTCAATTGTAGTGTATACGTATTCATCGGCACATCACTTCTATTTATATTTTTAATAAATGCGTTAATTATTTTAATCAAGGTTCCCTTTAATTATCTTCATAATTAAACATTGTCGAAAAATAGGAGGT